AAAAAAAAAAAACAAACTGCGAGGGGAGCAAGAAGTGTAAACGGAGAGCGAATTAAATTTGTCAGCCAACGCCAAAGGAACTCAAACACGCGGCCGAAGAGTAGCGAGAGAGCGTGAAGTAGTTTGGTATTTCGCCAACAACAACGTTCACAACCACGCCCAGTGGCGGCAATTAGCCGCAGATAAATGCAACAGTTGGCCATCATTATGCGCGAACGCTCCACGCTTGGGCGGCGGCGGCAATTATGGCTGCTGCTGTTGTTGTTGTTGCAAATGCAGTTGTTTTTGCTGTTGTGCTTGCTGATGCAAATACAGCTGATGTTGCATGAAATGTTGTTGCTGTTGTTGTTGTTGTTGCTGCTCCCTAAGCTCTCGCTGTTCACGCTGCATCTGTTGCACATGCGCTTGTGCTTGCTGCTGTTGCTGCTGCTGCTGCTGTTGTTGTTGTTGTTGTTCTTGTTGTTGTTGCATATGCTGTTGCAGTTGTTCGTGATGTTGCTGCAATTGTTGTTGAAATTGTTCGCGTAATCGTTGATGCTCTTCAGCATCCATTTCGCTGCCATAATCATCCATATCGATCACTTCGTCCTCGTCCTCTTCGATGAGCTCCTCCTCGTCGTCTTCCTCCTGATCATCGAAACTATTTTGTGAACTATCGTTTTTACTCGCCTCCATATCGCCCGCCTGACTGCCCTTCTGACTTTTCGAGTCACTATCGCCCTCCTGTTGCATGCGCTTGTGCTTGGTGCGGCGATTTTGAAACCAAACTTTGACCTGAAACAAGGAAAAAAATGTGTGTTAGGAAAAGCATAATTTAAATTTTACTTTAACTGGAATATGAGTTTTGTTTAATTAATTCTGAGTAAATACTTTGTCTTCCAGTTTCTTGAATTAAATGGCGTGGATAATATCAATGAAAAGTTGGGGAAGGCTTTCCAGCGTATATGTTAAAGAAGCGATAGTTATATTTCGAATAAAATGGCGCTCGTAAAAGCCCGCTTCTTCGCCTTAACAAAGCTAACATATTTCACATCCTAACTAGTTAGGATACAATTTGGCGTACCGATAAATATTTCGATACCTAATATTGAAATTAACTATGTATTATAATAGTTAGTTATTTCGTTAATAGTTTCCGATCAAAATTTCGAGAGCATTTTTATGAATTCCATTGCATTACCTAGGGATTTTAATTATAATCGTCTCGAATAAATGAGTTCACTAAAACGCTCCACTCACTTAACTGGTGTGCGGAGTTGTAATCAACGTATAATATAGGCAGAGCAACAGCGGCTTATGATTTGGTGATAATATCGACAGATCCGGATTAACCTAACAGTAAAGTCTTAGAAAAAAATTATCTCTCATCTACTAAGTATGTATTTTGAGCGAAAGCCCTGCTATATCATTTAGCTCGCGTCGCTGTAACAGTCGCAAAGTCGCAATAGCAGAGTGAGCAAAGCACACTCGTGTTCGAGTGCTCGGGCAAAGGATTTTGGTTAATTTTATTGTCTTATTCTTTTTTAATTAACATTCCTTTTAATTTTTAGATTTTAATGTTTTAATATGGTTCATATATATGTTTTTCAAATTTATTTACATTTTAGAAATTTATTTGATGTTTTAATATAATATTTTGCTTTTTTCTCAATTTGATATTTTTTTAGTGTTTTGATGTTATTGTTTTAAAAAGTAAAATATTTTTTTATTTAATTTTTTTTGGGGTTTAATAATTTTTTTTTTTCCTTTTTTAAGTTTATTTTTTTTAGTTTTAGACTTTATTGTTAAAAAAAAGCAAAACAATTTTTTTAATTTAATTTTTATTTAATTTTTTTCTCCTTTCAATTTATTTTGTTTTTCTTTTGTTAATTTCATTTTCTTTTAAATTTTAAATTTTACTGTTCTAAAAGGAAAAATATATATACATATTTTTTTTATTTTATTTTTAAGATCGTACTTTATTTTTTTGTATTTTTTTGATTTAAAATTCTTTTCATTTTTATATTTTCTTTTTAATTTTTTTATTTATTTTATCTATTTTTAATTTATTTTTTAGAAATTAAGGCATTTTTTTATTTCTGTTTTATTTTCTTTTTGTGTTTTTCTTTTCTTGATAAAATTTTCTTTTATTTATTACTGTATATTTAGTACAAACAATTAAAAATTTGATAAAAAAATTAAAATCCGCCAAGACGAATCGTCACCATGCCTGGTCAATTAAGAACCGCTCCTGCAGAAAAACAACAATACAAAGCGGCTAGCCAATAGAGGAAATGGGAAAAGCTCTGTAATAATGATGACCGCAGAGTCCTTGGCTGAAAATCTGTTTTGAAGAAATTTGAATGTATGAATCCAGATCTTGATATCTCTGTGCAGGAAATGNCAAAAAAAAAAAAAAGAACTTGAACTTGAAAGCTCACAAATAACCAATCTCCTGGTCCAGCCACATAGCTTTGATTTTACATCTCGATATGCAGGTATAGTGCATATGTGACCGAATAATTACTCTCTGACTTGTGCAAAAAACAATATCTCGTCCCAAAGTATAAAAGCCAAGAGTGGCTATCATCACCCTTCAGGCAAACATCTTCACAGATTATTGAAACTGCGTCTTATTTCATTCATTAAAAATTTCATTTATTAAAAATTCCGGAGGATTTTCATCCAGACAGCAGAAATTTCGGCCTGGAAATTCAGCAATAAGACCAATCGAAGACAACAAAAACTGCGTGGCCGCAGCATAACGAGCAAGCTACCTACTAAAGCGAACAGTACTACTATTTAGGAACCGTACACGTCAAAATCGCATTTAAAAAGGCACCAGAGAAGCTGCAACTTACCTCTATACAAAAAAAATGTCCTTAAAGAATTTACTTGCAACGTATGACATCCCGGACTTAAGGCAAACGACTGGACAACTTAAAAAAATGGACAGAATAGAGGATTCCATCTGCATATATTTGAGCTCAGGCGACGCAAATGTGCACGATGGAAGTAAGAATGATTCGTACTTCGGAGCAATTGGACAGACAACGAGGAGGAGTGGTGCTATGCGAGCAAATTTACGAAAACAGTGCTCTGGAAAAAAGACGAACCTGTATGCAGGAGCAAAGATGATAAGTTAGTTAATGGGAATTATATATTAATTGGTCTCTGTATGACACTTTTCAAAGCCCTCTGCCTTAAAAATATTTATTTAACGTAATGGTTATGTTAAGGGCTAACAAATTTATGCATACTTTTTTTTAAATTCTTACATTTTATAATACTCAATTTTTTTTTTGATTTTGTACGCCAGCTACTAAAGTTTTAACTCTTTATAGAACCACCTTAGAAATTACTAACCTCCTATTCCTCCAAAAAAAACCTTGTATACTTCATTACACCCACGCCAAAAATTTTCCACATAGCTTACCTTTTTGCATGACCCAATAAATAAATTTAGCCAACATTTTAATTCTACTCCCTGATTTTCAACAAATTCCTCACTACGTGCCGATTACTGCCACAGCTACATAGATTGCTGCGACTATTAACCACTTTATTTCTACGACCGTTATTTACCCAC